AACACACAACAACACACACCACCACACACCACCACACAGCAACACACACCACCACACACCACCACACAGCAACACACACCACCACACACCACCACACACCAACACACAACAACACACACCACCACACAGCAACACACAGCAACACACAGCAACATGCAGCTGGGCTCACTGCAGGCTCTGGACGACGTGCTCCACGTTGCTGGTGTGGATGTTGTGGCGTTCCAGCAGGCCGCTGTAGCTGGAGCCCTTCATGGCTAGCTGAAAGAAACCAGAGGTCAAAGGTCGAGCTGATGGAGCCCTGGGGGTTTTGTTCTCAGCTGTCAGCACCAACAGAAACAGAACAAGTTCTAGCTGTGGAAAACAGTCGCTGACTGGCAGCATCACTCCTCCTGACCAGCAGGGGGCGACAGTGGAGAGGAAAGACCCCATTTTGATAGGAAAAACTTCAGCAGAACCAGAACTTGGTACAAGCAGCCATCTGCCCCGACCGGCTGGAGGTAGAGAACACATTAGAAACATAAGAGCCTTGGGGTTTAGTGCCTGGCTCAGGGGCAAAAAGGAAATAATGTATAAACACAACAGGGTTAAAGTGTTTCCGTCACTGTTACAGGAAGCTGCTCCAGGCAGACAGTCAGCCTGGAGGGGCTGGACACAGGCACGCCACACTTTTCAGATTTTAATGTGTAAACATCCAGAAACTCCAATTTCCCTCCACATACCAGATATGCACCGCCCAGTATTCCTGACCCGTTTAGATCCAACAGAACCACAAATACCAGAACCCTGACCCAGAACGACCAGAACCCTGACCAGTATAACCCAGTCTCAGTGTGGCCCATCCAACTGTGGACCCGTCCAGAACAGTTCCTTACCAGCTGCTTCAGGTCCTCTTCAGATAGTCCGGCGTACCGGTACCGCTGCTGCTCGAACTCATACCGGGTGGTTTTGGTAACCACGGCAACCCTGTCCGGTTTGAACCCAGTTCTTGGTTCCGTGGAGGAGCCACCTGCCGCGGCGTGCAGAGGCCGCAGGAAGCCGCTCCTGGCCACCCTGTTCCCGAACCGCAGCAGGTTCACCACCGGGCAGCGAGCCATTCCTCCGAGCGGGGCGGGAACCAGGACCTGAAAGCCGGATTATGGCGAACGGAACCGAGCCGAGGGTTCTGGAGCTGCTGTTAATGAGGGGACATGGTCGGTCCAGGTGCAGCCGTCAGTCCGTGAAGGTCACCGGGTCTAGCCGCTGTCCAGCCCGGTGTCTCTGTGAGGAAGACAGCAACAGTTGACCAGCTGGTTAACTAGTTAGCCGCTAACCTGGTTAACTCGCGGTGGTGCTGACCCAGCTAAAGCTGCTAGCAGCGGGGCTCTTTGCAGCCCTAAAGCCGCTTATTGAAGCCGTTCCTCGGATTTAACTCGTCAGCTCGGAGCGCAATGAAGCAGCGACTCGGTTCTGAACAGGACCAGAACCAGAAGACATTAAATAAAGAGAAAAACATGAAACTACAGAGAAGCAAAGCTGCTAAACATACCAGGCACCTTGGCACGTACTCCGAATCTACGTAACCTACGTAGAGTTCCTCTGGATTGGCTACGTACGTGACGCAGCAGGTGCTGGAAATTCCAGCTTCTCTCCGAGATCCGCTTCATTTGGCTCCTAAAAGAGTCGGATTTTCTAGCCGCCAACCGGCTCTTTAATTTCTACTTACACTACAGCTTAAGTCATAGGATTTCACTATGGGGGTCGTGACCCCTAGGGGGGTCGCGGAGGTACTGCATGGGGGTCGTGAAATTTCTCATAAATTAGACAGTTTTTGCATATTGTTGCGTTTTAAATACTCATTAACATAAGTATAGCCTGTTACAAATTACTGAAATAAGGCATTAAATAATATACTACAGTTATAAATGAACTCATTCAGTGAGCAAAAGCTGTCAATTATGTTAAAAGTTTTTCATTTTTATGCAAAATAACAGTTTGTTCATGGCAGTGGCGTTATTAGGAGATCACTATTGTATTTTAATTCATGCTTAGAGCTGCAGTTTGCTTCTTCTGATTGGAATCAACCATAAAAAAGATTTGAAATCAAAGATTTTGGTCTTTTTAAAGAATTGAAAGTTTGGATTTTAGTCTGAATTTCGCTTTGGATGTATTTCTTCCTTTCTTGTATTTTAATTCAACTATTGGAGGATGAAGGTCTGATGCGGTATCAGAGCCAGAACCGACATCATTTCCCAGTGTTTGGGTCTCATTCTGCAGTCTGAGGAGTCGGAACCGAGCTGGAAGACGCACAGATGGGTTATTCCGTTCACAGAGCCTCCTGGATTTGAGGTTTGTGAAAGTCTGCCTGACCTGGTCCTGGTCCTGATTTGGGGGAATCTTCTCCTCTAATTTTACCCCGTCCTCCTGGGAACGCCTCTCCACGCAGTCAGGTCACCTATTCCCGCTCCAGCTCCACTTTTCCAGCTAATTGTGCTGCGGTTTCCCTCTGAGGACCATCCTGAACTATAACAAGTCCCGAGCGGGACGGAGCGCATCCTCCAAACCTCATTCCTGTTTTCCGCCTGAAACGATTCGGTTTATTCCCACAAACAGACGCGACGTGTTCGCAGCTTCCCAGAGGAGGAGCGGAGAGGGAACGGACGGAGTCCTGGGAGGTTTCACACCTGAAACTGTGTCAGAGGACGTCTCCTGATCTGTCCTCCTGTCCCCGTCCCTCCCTCCGCCGGAGCGGGAGGTGAAGAAGCTCAGCGCTCAGATCAGAGCAGGAAGTTTCCTCCGACTCTGCAGCCGCATCACTGAGACCGGAGAGGCAGACAGGTGAGCAGATTCATCCTTATTTACACGATGCAGCAGGAGAGGAACCGGGTTCAAGATGGAGGGAAGCATCTTCACCATCACCATCATCATCCCAGAGTTCTCCTGTTGGATCAAATGTCTCCTCAGACTTTAACCTTTAAATTAAACTAATTCCAAATTGGCTAATTCCGCAGCAGATCGGTTGAATCGAGGTTAATCAATAACTAACATAATCCTCACTAATTTAGTCTGCGATTAATCGTTATCTGAAAACTGTACAAAAATACATTTCGTACTTAAGATAAAAACATTTTAGTCTGTAAATCTGTTTTAGCCTGTTGTAGTTTTAGTTTCACCACATTTACTAAAGCAATGCTTTTAAAGTTTAGGCAATAAAATGTTTGTTTTCTTATTTTTAAAAGGAATTTAATTGTTTATTTTGATCTTTTAATGTATTTCTAATATTGTATAAAAAAGCTTAATGAATGTGCCATTATTGATTAACTGGTTAATCATCAGAATAATAGATTAATCGATTGCTAAAATAATTGTTAGCTGCTGCCTTAGTTTGTTCATTTTTACCCCAAATGAATCACTTTGGCTGAAACTGGAGTCTGAATCCCAGTTTCAGAGATCCAACCGGCACTGAACCAAACCTTAACGCAGTTTATCTGTTTGGATTTAAACATTTCTGGAAAAGATCTTGGACGCTAACATCCTTCCAGCAGGAGGTAGAACCGAAATACTGAGGAGAAATGATCTGGGAAAGTTTTTCCTCCATTGTTCCCTGCAAACATCGGATCCTGACGAACATTTTCTCCCAGCAGGAAACACGTCCGGCGGACACTGTGACGTAAATATGCTGTGAAAAAAGTATTCACATGTTTCTTATTTTATTTTGTCACAGTTAAATGCTAGCTAAATGTGTTGCTTTGTTTGGCTAGCATTCAAATTTACTTCCCGATAACCGGATGTGGACTGTCAAAATAAAAGCGGGGTCTTGCGCTAATCTCCAGCTAGCGCAGTAACTGTTTCTGCAGCTCCTTTGGTAAACACCTGAGTTACATTTAAAACAGCCCGCGCTTTGTTTTATCCTGAAATGATGTAAAAGAGAAGAAGTAAAAGAAAAAAAAAAAATCCGATGAGCTTCGCAAGACCCAGTTTATATTTTGATCGTCCACTTCCGGTTATCAGCAAGTCAATTTGCATATTAACTAAACATTTAGCTCGGAGTTAAATATCTAAAGATTTTGCTTGTTAGCTAAATATTCAGTTAACAAGTTATTTAGTTACTAAGCTAAATATTTAACCACCAACTAAATATTTAATTCATAAACTAATTAGTTAGCAAGCTACATGTTTAGTGCTAAATCAGAACTAGCTTGAAGCTACATATTCATCCAGCTAACTGGACATTTAGTTTTAAACTGTGACATTGATCCCATTTGGCTAAATAACCCAAGTTTCTGCTGCTAATTTTCATCGTGCAGCTTTTCAAACATCACTATGATTTAAATGAGGGTTTGTGTTTTTACAGGGCGACATGGTGGAACAAGTCAATGAATCTTTATTCATTCACTGATTCTGATGTTGTTTTTGGTGACATGTTGGTGTCATTGCTGCCTCACAGGAAGTAGACTTTTTTATTTATTCTTTATTAGAAAAGCCGTGTATCATCTGTCTGTTCTGTTCTCAGGACAGGCCACGTAGTGAGAGGTTGTGGGTTTGAATCCCGGCCGAATAACGGAGCAGGATGCAGCGGATCAGGGAAGGGATCCACATCCGGACCATGAAGGCCAAGAGGAAAGTGGAGGAGATCTCCAAGGAGGACGTCCAGGCCTTCCTGAGGAAGAACGCGTTCGTCCTCTTCACTGTGGGCGCCGTGGTCGTAGGTGTGTGGTCCTCAGCAGGCGTCCTGCCGTCCGGCTGCGGCCGAGTGGAGAGTCACTGGTTCCTCTCTGTGCAGGGATCATCCTGGGCTTCGCTCTGCGTCCCTACAGGATGAGCTACCGCGAGGTGAAGTACTTCTCCTTTCCTGGAGAAGTTCTGATGAGGATGCTGCAGATGCTGGTGCTGCCGCTGCTCGTCTCCAGCCTGATCACCGGTCAGATTCCTCCGCCACGTATCCATCCACAGCCCATTGTCAGGTTACCTGCTGCTGCAGGACCAAATGGAGCCAAACAAAGACTCTTGTTTCACTGAGTCTGAAATGTTCAACCAGCCCTTTAAATAGGCTCAATGTGAATAAAATGTCTTAAAGTAAAACCCATCATCAGTCATGAAGGTCCTGAAACACCTTCAGGCAGAAAGGCAGGAAGTTTCTCCAGTTTGGATTCGCTGAGATCTTTATTTCTAAACAATATTTTCTATAATTTAATGTCAAATCAGAGAATCTTCCAGAGGAACCAAATGAAACATTAAGATCCTCCGTTAGCAATGAGAACCAGACAGAACGTCTCGATCGGATAAAAACTGACCAAGTTCCAGTCAGGGTCAATCAAGGTCAGTCAGGGTCAATCAGGTTTAATCAGGGTCAATCAGGATCAATCAGGGTCAGTCAGGGTCAATCAGGGTCAATCAGGGTCAGTCAGGGTCAATCAGGGTCAA